TACTATTTAAGTATAGAGGAAGTTAGGTTATGTGCATGCTCACAGGGTTTTGAAAGCAAACCATGCCGTGAAATATGTGAAGCCTATGGTTTGGGTCATGTATCTAACTATCTAGGTAGAATACCTAAAAGTAGATGTTGTGCAAACTACAAAGTTGTGGTTTATAGAATCGGGCAGACCTCCCCCGCCCCCTATTCCCCCCCCCTCGCCCCACCATTCCCTCCGTTCCCCATTCCCCGTCCACCCATTCCCCGCCCCCCAATTCCCCGTCCCCGCATTTCCCGTTCTCCCATTCCCCGTTCCTCCATTCCCCATTGCCCGTTCTCCCACTGCCCGTTCCTCCATTCCCCGTTCCTCCATTCCCCCATTCCCCGTTCCCCCATTCCACGTTTTTCGACAGAGAAGACGATCTTTTTGCCTGTATTCAATCTACAAACACTAAAAACAAGTTTACTACTCGTATTTTACTCGTATTCTACTCGTATGTACTCGTATTATACTCGTATGTACTCGTGTGTTACTCGTATGTACTCGTATGTTACTCGTATGTACTCGTATGTTACTCGTATGTTACTCGTATGTACTCGTGTGTTACTCGTATGTACTCGTATGTACTTGTGTGTTACTCGTATGTTACTCGTATGTTACTCGTATGTACTCGTGTGGCGTTTTAGTCACGATCGTAAGCAACAATGTAGAAATGTTCCTTTTCTACTTCTGAGTGTGGAAAATTCCGAGACACAGTAGACTGTTCTTCGAAGTTGCTGGCGTGTAAGAATGACATTAGTTATCACTTGCAAATTTGTCACCTTTTAAGCTGTCGCAAAGAAGAATATAACTTAATTCTAATTTTCAGAACCTTTCTAATTGTTACCGAAAAAAGGAATAACATTGATTAAATAACTGAGACATTCTGATGGGTTACAGCTGTTTGCGCTGAATTGTTTTGTATTATATCAAAATATTCGCATAATTTTATACAATAAGAAATAATATAAATTCTTGAAGCTTAGCCTTGAGCAAAATTACCCAGGGCAAGGGTCGGCCTGAAAAAGTTGATTTTTTTTATACAGAACCGCGACGTATTTGAATTCTAGTTTCATTGATAATTGTTTCTCAACCTAGAGTTGCTAGAAAACTACGAAACTAACGAAATATTGACATTTGACATCACAGCGAGTATACATCTCTTTCGGCCAGGGGCTTCCCCCGAGATTTAATTTTATAAAACAGTTTTAAAAAAAACAATGAAAATTATGTCTGCAGTATGACTAATTCTGAGTTTTCCAATTTCATTGAACATTAATATTTGTTAAACATGCAGGTAAAGGTATTTGTTAAAGAAGTATAAACAAAGCGAACAGAGCGCAGTTTGTATAATATGTCACAATCAGGACTCGTGACATTGAGGCGCGCAGAAGACACTGGACACACTGGCATTGAATGACTCTATCCGTGAAGCCAAACTGTACTCAAACAATTTGATTCACGTGTCAAACCAAAGAATAATGATGAAAGACATATATTTACATAATCAAGCTTCATTTAGTGTAGTGTAAGGCGATTTTATCTGTTAATATCAATAATTAGGTTTACTGATAAAGTATGCTCGATTTCGACACATTTTAAAATTTTACAAAGTTTGCGCGCTTGTCATTTTTGTCAAATGGTAAAGCAGAAAGATATTATTGGCGATTTGTGTTGACTAATGTTAGTAGTTTATAGAAAAGGTAAAGACATGTGCCAATCAAGTGCCACGATTTTGAAATAAGCTTTCAAAGTTGATATATTTTGAGACGATATCCGTTATCCGTTCAGGAGGGTCAATAACTGCGCTGTTTTCTACTTTATACCAAAGAATAATTATCTAAGACATATCAACAACGAAAATAGAAGGATAAGTCTATATTTCTGAGCAAAAATTTTGAAATTTAGGTATGAATTTCATCTAACAAACAGCGCTGAAAATGTGTCGATACTTTGCCTTCATTCGGAGTTCAAGTTGGTTACCAGCCGATCGAACTTCAATCGCCCCAAAAATAATTTAAAGGAAATTGAGTAAAATGAAATCGATTTTAGTTGTTCCCAAGGATAGATCTTCAAAACACTAGAGTATGCGAGAAATTTATTTTTGAGCCCCATATTAACCTGGAGGTTTTTACGCAGACAGCCTCTTAAGAGTGAGGAATCTTGTCCTCAGACTGAGGAACCTTGTCCTCAGAGTGAGGAACCTTGTCCTCAGAGTGAGGAACCTTGTTCTCAGGGTGAGGAACCTTGTCCTCAGAGTGAGGAACCTGACTTCAGAGTGAGCAACCTTGTCTTTAGAGTGAGGAACCTTCTCCTCAGGGTGAAGAACCTTGTCCTCAGAATGAGGAACCTTGTCCTCAGAGTGAGGAACCTTGTCCTCAGAGCGAGGAACCTTGTCCTCAGTCTGAGGAACCTGCCTTCAGAGGGCGGAAACTTGTCCTCAGAGTGAGGACCTTGTCCTCAGAGTGAGGACCTTGTCCTCAGAGTGACGATCCTTGTGCTCAGAGTGAGGAAACTTATCCTCAGTGTGAGGAACCTTGTACTCAGAGTAGGGAACCTTGTTCTCAGAGTGAGGAACCTTGTTCTCAGTGTGAGGAACCATGTCCTCAGTGTGAGGAACGTTGTCCTCAGATTGAGGAACCCTTGTTCTCAGAGTGAGGAACCTTGTTCTCAGGGTGAGGAACCTTGTTTTCAGAGTGAAGAATCCTGTCCTTAGTGTGAGGAACCTTGTCCTCAGTGTGAGGAACCTTGTTCTCAGAGTGAGGAACCCTGTCCTCAGTGTGCGGAATATTGTCGACGTCCTCAGCGTGAAGAACCTTGTCCTAAGAGTGAGGAACCTTGTCCTCACCGTGAGGAACCTTGTCCTCAGAGTGAGGAACCTTGTCCTCATAATGAGGAACCTTGTTCTCAGTGTGAGGAACCTTGTTCTCAGTGTGAGGAACCTTGTCCTCAGTGTGGAGCACCTTGTCCTCAGAGTGAGGAACCTTGTCCTCAGAGTGATGAACCTTCTCCTCAGAGCGAGGAACCTTGTCCTCGGAGTGAGGAGCCTTGTCCTCAGTGTGAGGAACTTTTTCATCAGAGTGAGGAACCTTGTCCTCAGAGTGAGCAACCTTGTCCCCAGAATGAGGAACCTTGTCCTCACTGTGAGGAACCTTGTCCTCAGAGTGAGGAAACCTGTCCTCAGAACGAGGAAACTTGTCCTCAGTGTTAGGAACCTGCCTTCAGAGTCCGGAACCTTGTCCTGAGAGAGAGGAACCTTGTCTTCAGAGTGAAAAACCTTGTCCTCAGAGTGAGGAACCTTGTCCTCAGAGTGAGGAGCCTTGTCCTCAGTGTGAGGAACCTTTTCCTCAGAGTAAGGAACGTTGTCCTCAGAGTGAGGAACCTATTTCTGAGAGGGAGGATCCTTGTCCTCAGAGTGAGGAACCTTGTCCTCAGAGTCATGAGCCTTCTTCTCAGAGTGCGGAACCTTGTCCTCAGTGTGAAGAACCTTGTCCTCAGAGTGAGGAACTTTGTCGTCAGAGTGAGGAACCTGACTTCAGAGTGAGGAACCTTGTCCTCAGAGTGAGAAACCTTGTCCTCAGAGTAAGGAACCTAATATCAGAGTGAGGAACCTTGTCCTCAGAAAGAGGAACCTTGTTGTCAGGGTGCGGACCCTTGTAATCAGTGTGAAGAACCTTGTCCTCAGAGTGAGGAACCTTGTCCTCAGAGTGAGGAACCTTGTCCTCATAATGAGGAACCTTGTTTTCAGTGTGAGGAACCTTGTCCTCACTGTGAAGCACCTTGTCCTCAGAGTGAGGAACCTTGACCTCAGAGTGATGATCCTTGTCCTCAGAGTGACGATCCTGCTTTCAGAGTGAGGAAACTTGTCCTCAGAGTGAGGAAACTTGTCCTCAGAGTGAGGAACCTTGTCCTCAGAGTGAGGAGCCTTGTCCTCAGAGTGAGGAGCCTTGTCTTCAGTGTCAGGAACGTTTTTCTCAGAGAGAGGAACCTTGTCCTCACAGTGAAGAACCTTGTCCTCAGAGTGAGGAGCCTTGTCCTCAGTGTGAGGAACATTTTCCTCAGAGTGAGGAACCTTGTCCTCAGAGTGAGGAACCTTCTCCTCAGACTCATGAACCTTCTTCTCAGAGTGCGGAACCTTGTCCTCAGTGTGAAGAACCTTGTCCTCAGAGTGATGAACCTTGTCCTCAGAGTGAGGAACCTGACTTCAGAGTGAGGAACCTTGTCCTCAGAGTGAGGAACCTCGTTCTCAGAGTGTGGAACTTTGTCTTTAGTGTGAGGAACCTTGTCCTCAGAGTGAGGAACCTTGTCCTCAGTGTGAGGAACCTGCGTTCAGAGTGAGGAACCTTGTTCTCAGTGTGAGGAACCTGCCTTCAGAGTGAGCATCCTTGTCCTCAGTGTGAGGAACCTGCGTTCAGAGTGAAGAACCTTGTCCTCATAGTGAGCACCCTTGTCCTCAGAGTGAGCAACCTTGTACTCAGAGTGAGCAACCTTGTCCTCAGAGTGAGGAACCTGGTCCTCAAAAAGAGAAACCTTGTCCTCCGAGTGAAGAACCTGCCTTCACAGTGAGGAAACTTGCCCTCAGAGTGAGCAACCTTGTCCTCAGAGTGAGGAACCTTGTCCTCAGAGTGATGAACCTTGTCCTGCGAGTGAGGAACCTTGTTCTCAGAGTAAGGAACCCTGTCCTCAGAGTGAGGAACCTTGTCCTCAGCGCGAGGAACTTTCTTCCCATTGTGAGGAACCCTGTCCTCAGTGTGAGGAACCTTGACCTCAGAGTGAGGAACCTTGTCGTTAGATTGAGGAACCTTGTCCTCACAGTGAGGAACATTGTCCTCAGGGTGAGGAACCTTGTAGTCAGTGTGAGGAACCTTGTCCTAAGAGTGGGGAACTTTGTCCTCAGAGTGAGAAACCTGCCTTCAGAGTGAAGAACCTTGTCCCCAGAGTGAGGAACGTTGTCTTGAGAGTGGGGAATCTTGTCCTCAGAGTAAAGAACCTGCCTTCACAGTGAAGAACCTTGTCCTCAGAGTGCCGAACCTTGTTGACAGAGTGAAGAACCTTTTCCTCAGGCTGACGAACCTTGTCCTCAGAGTGAGGAACCTTGTCCTCAGAGTGAGGAATCTTCTCATCAGAGTGAGGAACCTTGTCCTCAGAGTGAGGAACCTTGTCCTCGGAGTGAGGAACCTTGTCCTCAGAGTGAGTTACCTTGTCCTCCGAGTGAGGAACCTTGTCTTCAGAGTGACGAAACTTGTTCTCAGAGTGAGGAACCTTTTCGTCGGTGTGACGAACCTGGCCCTCAGAGTGAGGAACCTTGTCCTCAGAGTGAGGAACCTTGTCCTCGGAGTGACGAACCTTGTCCTCAGAGTGAGAAACCTTGTAATCAGAGTGAGGAACCTTGTCCTCAGAGTGAGGAACCTTGTCCTCAGGGTGGGGAACTTCTCCCCAGAGTGAGGAACCTTGTCCTCAGAGTGACGAACATTGTCCTCAGAGTGAGAAACCTTGTAATCAGAGTGAGGAACCTTGTCCTCAGAGTGAGGAACTTTGTTCTCAGAGTGAGGAACCTTGTCCTCAGTGTGAGGACCCTTGTCGTCAGAGTTAGGAAAGTTGTCCTCAGAGTGAGGAACCTTGTTCTCAGAGTGAGGAACTTTGTCGTCAGTGCCAGGAATCTTGTTCTCAGTGTGAGGAACCTGCTTACAGACTGAGAAACCTGGTCCTCAGAGTGAGGAACCTTGTCCGCAGATTGAGGAACCTTGTCTTCAGAGTGACGAAACTTGTTCCCGTGTGAGGAACCTTGTCCTCAGTGTGAAGCACCTTGTCCTCAGAGTGACACTGGACGAAAAATTGGATTTACTCATATTTACGCCGAATAAATAAATAGCAAATATTATATTCACTCAAATTTGCAGCAAATAAACAAGGGGAAGACCGTATTTGAATAATTTTGGCAAAAGAGGAGAAAATAAGGTCTTCCACTTGTTTACATTTCAGAAAATTTGAATGAATATAATATTTTCTATTCATTTACTTGGCGTAAATATGAGTAAATCCAATTTTTCGTCCAGTGTGAAGAATCTTGTCCTGAGAATGATGAACCTTGTCCTCAGAGTGAGGATCCTGCTTTCAGAGTGAGGAAACTTGTCCTCAGAGTGAGGAACCTTCTCCTCAGAGTGACGAACCTTGTCCTCAGAGTGAGGAGCCTTGTCCTCAGAGTGAGGAGCCTTGTCCTCAGTGTGAGGAACGTTTTCCTCAGAGAGAGGAACCTTGTCCTCAGAGTGAAGAACATTGTCCTCAGACTGAGGAAGCTTGTCCTCAGAGTGAGGAGCCTTGTCCTCAGTGTGAGGAACCTTTTCCTCAGAGTGAGGAACCTTGTCCTCAGAGTGAGGAACCTTGTCCTCAGAGT